CGAATCTCTGGGTTTGATTTACCAACAGTTATGATATTTCTCTCTCAGGAGGGAAAAAAGAATATGCCTCATTTTTAGACCCATGAGTCTCCGCTCCCTTCCTGTAACCTCCCTCTCTGTGAACAGTGGCATTTTATTATCAGATGGGATTTTTCTCCTGAATTACTGATCCTGGCCTCTCTAAAAGTTCTCTCTCACTAGCCTGGGCAACAGAGGATCAGAAAACAGCTACCAACCACAGTCACTTTCCCCTTTCAGACTGAGCCCTAAAGACCAGGTGGAAGAGCCCAAGTCCATCTGAGTGTAAAAACTGTGGACGGTGAATGAGGTAACGGGCAAGGCATGCATGGGAATTTTCCCACAATGTGAATAAATGTAAGGGCCCTGCGAATCCAAAAGAAAACAACCCAAGATGGCAAGATGGCTAAGGAAATGCAAAAAGATTTCTCAGCTAAAAACGTTATGACACCAACAAGTTTACCCCAGGTCACATGTCAGCAATCTCAACGCCCGTCCGTCACACGTAGTCCTAGGGCTGCTTTTAGGTTACATCGGCAGAGGTGAGTAGTAGGGAGAGACTGCGCTGTCAGCAAAAACCCACCATATTTACTGTCTGATCCTTTATGGGGGAAGTTTGCCGACCCCTGCCCCTCAGTCACACTGGACCGTGGGGGACTTGCAACAAGAAATTTATGGTTACAAATGATAGTAAGATTAGTCTCTTCTGACACGTTAATGTCCTGCATGGTCACTGCGCCTTCCCTGGGGCTGGTCAGAAATGTTCGGATATTTAAAATTATCCCTCTTTTAAAAAGACTTGAGTGCACAGATAAGAAAAAAAAGGACTAATATATTCTTAACGAGTGCCTAGTATGGGTCCGGCACTTTACATGATGCACCTTTTAATTCTAACAATCCCGAGAGGGAGTTACTAATATTGTTATTCCAAATTACACGAGCAGATACTGATGCTCCGAGATGCTGTGTGACTAACTCAAAGAACACACTAATACAAAGTGGCTTTACTACCCAATCTGCCTTTTCTTCAAAGCTCTTTCTAGACCTATGGCGGTAAGTTGAAAGCGTAGTGAATGAACGGCGATGCTTCTAACCCAGTGGTACTGTATGGCAGTTAAGAGAAGTGTACAAAGGCTGACTGCTTAGATTTGGATCCTCACTCCACCTCCTGCTAGCTGTGTGACCTTGGGGAAAATCACCTGACCTCTCTGTGTTCCTTTCCTTATCTGTAGGTTGACAGTAATACCGTAATATTTGCACTGTTAGGTGGTGTGAGGATTAAATGGGTTATACGATTGTCTCTTGAAAAATGTGGGGGTAGGAACACTGATCCCTCCGCACACCTCATGTAGCAAAAATCCACGTGTAACTTTTGACTTCCCCCAAACTTAACTGCTAACAGCCTACTGTTCACAGGAAGCCTTACGAACAACACACTGAAGTCGATAAACACATTACTGTACACTGTATGTATTATATACTACAGTGCAATAAAGTAAGCTACAACAGAAAGTATTAAGAAAATCCTAAGGAAAGGGAGTGTTTATAAAACTGTAATGTGTTTATTGAGAAAACAAATCTGCATATAAGTGGATCTCTGCAGTTCAAATCCATGTTATTCAAGCGTCAACTGTGTATGCAAAGTACTTGGAGCTGACCCTGTGGCACGGTTGTGGGTTGCTTAATTATAAACTCTTACTAGGGGAGCGTAAAATCAGGGGATCAGAAGATAAGTGGGGGAAAATATCTAGAAAGCAACAACTAAGTCAAGGTCAGAGCAATGCTTCATTTAGTTGAGTAAAAGCGCCTTGGGGAATCTAAGTACCTCCAGTATCAACTTGCTTAAACCATAAGACGACACCTCTATAGAGGGATAATGGAAAACAAGAGTGAGCCAAGAAAGAGGTGCTTCTAGAATCTACAAATATGGCACAATTGGAGAAGAAATGCTTAAAACATTACTTCTCATCAACAATGACTCCAGGATGCCATGATTCAAAGAGGCCACGTGTGGTTTCTGTGTGACCCACACGCTATACGGTGGCTCTTTCAGTCCAGTTCAATGGAAAGCAAAGTTGGTTTCACAAGAGCCAATGTGATTACCCTTTAGGCTGCACACAGATGTGGGAGAAGTGTATCTGCAAGAAGACCAACTTATTTTCCACTACACTGAGCAAGACACTGAAACCTGAAGACAACTCTGAATTTCCCAGAGCTAAAATCATACTGTAGAGGAAACTCAGAACCCTGAATTTGTCATATATGGCCAATCAATGTGTAACTCAAGAAGGCATTAAGAGAGCATTGAGTTCTAGGGTTTTTTTCTTTCATAATCAGCATTTACTCTCCCATTTCTGGTTTAAATACTCGTTTTTCACACTTGGGAACCAAGTGTCTCATCCCTAGCCCCCCTGTGGTTCACATGGGGGGAACATCTCTATCTGCTCTGGAGGTGCCCATGTGATGGAAGGAAGGCTGGCTACAATACTGTGACTGACTCAAAGCTGGGACACCACTTAATCTGGGTCAGTGGGAGGCTGCCCAGGACTACTGGTGGGCTCCAGAGAAAGAGATGCACTGTGAGATGGATACACCTGTGGCATGTAGATCTGTCTTCTTTAGTTCTACTTGGAAAGTGCCTAAGAACGAAGGCAACACAGAAGAAAACAGAGCTACCAGACACAAAGCCAATGCTCCAACAAACTTGTTTAAGCATCTGGATCCAGCCATGCCTGAGGCGAGCTATCCCTTCGGACTTCCTAGTTACAAGAGCCAATTATCAATCCCCAAGCCCTCCCCCCCCACCTCCCCAACCCCGTTTTGGGGTGGGGGGAGAGAATGAGGGGTTAAACCGATTTAAGTTAGGTTTTCTGTAGCTCACAAATGAAAGTCTTCTAAGAAATAGAAGCCAGTTAAGTAAGTACTAAGAAATAAAGGGGCAGCCACGGCAGGTTCACAGTGGGTATCCAAGTCCACGGAGCAAATATGAACCAGGAATATGTCACGTCTTGTGCAAAACCACCAAAATTGAGAGACGGTTTCCTATAAGGAGGCAGGCTCCAAATATCCATTTAAGGGGATTTTCATTTTTAAGGAATCAGTCTAGGTCCCAATACTCATGATCTTCAGATTCTTTTCTTTAGTATGAGGTTGGTTTGAAATTGTGCTTTCTCAATGTGGAGGCACAGAAAAAAGAAGATATATACATACATATATATACATAATATAATTATACATATATCATATATATATATAAAACTCAGTTCACGTGATAAATGAACTTCTGATTTGAGGTTGAGAGTGGAAATACGTTGGTTATTAACAATATTTTTTAAGTAGATCATACTGAAAAACTGTCTTCTTCCTTTGTGGCTCTAAAACGGATACATCAAGAATATTCATAGCAATTGTATATTTCTAGAGACTTTATGAAAATAAATCCTATTTACAGATGGTTATCGACCATTCTAGACATGAGTGAAATTAGCACCAATGTATTTATCAAAGCTAGCACTGGTGCAAAAGGTGAAATCAGAATGTGAAAGTGGTTTCTGCCAAGGTCTTTTTCCCTCATTATCTAAATATAATTAGGCAGTAACAAAACAAAGATTTATAATGAGTGATTTATAAGAGAACAAAGCCCCAAAACACGACTAGCTTGAATTGTAATAATTGTAAAGGGCTTTTGCTTACTTTAAAGTATCACTGCTCTTGACTGTTCATATCTAGAAACAAATTTTAGGCATCTCTTTTAAAAACTTTGAGTACTTAAGTTTCTAATGACTATATAATGCCCTTCAAGTAAAATAGCAAACCTGGGAAGCTCAGAAATAGATTCACAGTCTTCACTAATTAAAACACAACATTCATAGAAACTCCTTTCCGGTAATGCTGGAAGGATCTTTAACGGTGGGTTCTTAAAGTTTCAGTATGCAGGTCCATAAGGGTAAAGATAGAGACTGCTTTAAGAATATAAAGACCACACAAAACTAGAAACCTGTACACAAATCAGTTCTGTTCTATTTCTGGGGGCTTGAATGAGAGAAAAAAGCCCAAAGCAAAGAAACCCCAACTCGTAATCTGTAAGCCCTCATGAAGATAAATATAAAGGAGTCATATGTGTGCATATGTTCAATTACTGTGTACCATGTAAATATACTAAATAAAATGTATTATTATATTCAGTCCATCTGCCAATGATTTAATGATACTATCAATAAATGCATGGGGTATCATTAAAACAGGGCAGTGTAGACTAAATATTGTTAAAGGGCAAGGCATAGTATGGAGGGGAAATACGAAGATGTAGGGCAGAAGCACTGCACTTCAACTCTGAGAAGATTAATCTAACATTTATTTACAGAGATACTTTAACAGTGTTACAGATTTAAATGGGATAATCCAAGTTTTAGTGATACTTTAAAGGTAGAAATTAAGGTTACTCCATTCTCGCCATAAGGACAAGAATTGGAACTAGAGTCAATAGCAGTAAGTAAGAAGCAAGGTGATAGCATTTCCTGGGCACCCCCTTCTTAAGTTTGCAAGTCATGCGTATAAAAACAGAGAGGACCAATTACCAGGCTGCAACCAGCTACGAACTGACAGCAGAGTTAGAAACCTAAGGGTATGCCAGCGCTTCAGTATGCAGACCAACGAATTAAAGTGAAAACTAAATTCTGGCAAATTTAATACTGGGAGAACTTTTATTTAATCACTGTCATCCCGAGGAAATGTGTAAACCATAGACTCTTACTAAGAGCATCAAAACTACCCCTGGGTGAACCTCTTTTGCCCTTTACGATCGACCCTCCACAGATTCTGTGCCTATTCCTAGGACGATGTGCTGGACCTTATGATTTAGAGTTCATTCTCAAAATGGTGGTGTGAAGCCCTCCATCAAAAAGGCATTTTATGAGGAAAAGCATGAGCCGTGGGAGGTGATGGCTATGTAAGAGAAGAAAGCAATATAAAATCATTCTTACTTCAGAAATGATTGGAAATCTTCGCACACTGCTTCACAGCCTGGCCACTTGCATACACCATGTCCGTAGAGAGGATGGCTATGGGGGTGCTCCTCGTGGGACAAACTGAAAAAAAACACACACGCACACACACACACAAAAGGACAAGAGAATGAATTTGTTGCCAAGAACCATTCCACCAGGCTTCAAAGGCAAGAGGAACCCACAGGGCTGAACGTGGACGTGGAGGAGTCTAGGGTTTCTTTCTCCCCCGCATTTACGAATTAATTCTGCATTGTTATTTAAAAGCAAGAGTTAAATTCCAGACTGTGACTAGTCCAATGTTAGAAATGTACCACCACGTATGAAAAGTGTTTGACAGGCTTTTGTTAGAGGCAAAGCTCTCTACTCAAACTGTGAAGGATTCTTTAAAAAGCTAGAATTTATCATTTAATCTACATAATGAAAATGATCAAATCTGTACTTGATTTTGAGATTCTCTTGCTGTTTCCTACCCAGGATATTATACATTTTCCTCCTCCCTTCGATTAGAAAACTGCTTTCGCATAATTGTATGATCTTTTCACAAATTAATTTTATCAAGCACCGAACAGAGCAATTAAATAATTTAGCATCAAATAATTTAGGAAGACAAATATATCCAAGTAGATGATTAGCTTAAAAAACACTAGTAACAGGACAAAGATTGTATCCCTAAAATTACAGACACCAAGGCTGAGAAAAAAACGTGGCATGAACACAAGGGGTTAATCCTTCAGTGGGGTTCCAATCAATACGTAATGATTTGACCACAAGGATCCAAGTCATGAGATGCTTTGATCCGCACCATGTGGTGTTTGGGGTAGTGTATCTGCTGCACTCGCTGATGAACCATATTCTCAAATATTTCCTCTATTAGATTTCTGCATCCAGACTTTCAGACAAATTATTTTTACAGTAGTTTCCATATCCTTAGATTCCATCAAATAGAAATGTAAAACTAACACTGAGAGTTCTGTTTCCTACTCAAGCACATTCTCTTCAAGGGAAGGGCTATTTTGCAACTTCTTCCACTGCCTATCTGTGATTCTGAACTTCAATCATGATTCCGTACACATAGGTGCAAAGCACGCACACACGTGCAGCTTGTATATTACCACAAGGATACGTATTCATATATCATAGATCGATTCACAATCACGGAGCAGATGTACACAAATGCCACTTGTCCCTGACTTATAATGAATCCACAATGGGCATATTACAAACAGTTAAACTAAGAAGCATGAGGAGTAAACATACAGGGACACAGAACTACACCTTATCAAAGATCAATAGGACTCTCTATGGCTTTTAAATAATTATGCTGGAAATTCAACATAATTTGAAAAGAGTGACCAGTTTTCTTTTTTTTTTTTTTTTGCCTTAAAATAGAAGATGAATCTGGAAACCAAAACAAAACATTTTTAATGCTTTATTTATTTATTTATTTATTTATTTGAGAGAGAGACAGATAGTGTGAGCAGGGGAGGGTCAGAGAGGGAGATACAGTATCTGAAGCAGGCTCCAGGCTCTGAGCTAGCTGTCAGCACAGAGCCCGATGCAGGGCTCGAACCCAGGAACCGTGAGATCGTGACCTGAGCTGAAGCCGGATGCTTAACTGACTGAGCCACCCAGGCGGTCCCCCCAAATTTTTTTACACAAGTCTGATATAGGTGGCCCTCATGAGAGAAAAGAGTAACACGAGTGAAAGATGGTAGTTCTATACTGAGACTTACAAAGCCCCATGGTAAAAGGATATTCTCTAAGCAGTTAAGAGGGCAAAAGTCCACTGGCCTGATGGAAAGAATTACTACCAATCCAAGATCATCTCCAGATTTTTTAAAGAATAAAATAGATATGATGACCTCAGATGATGGACGTTAGTGAGACTATTTTGGTAATCATGTCATGACACATGTAAGTCAAGTCATTATGCGGTACAACTTATACAATGCTCTATGTCAATTGTATCTCAGTTACACTGGAAAAAATAGATATGATACAAAAACAGAATTTAAAAAAATTACTGACAATATCTGAAACAAAACAATCCTAAGGACTAGAAGTCTCAGCTATTCTGAGGGAAGGAAATCATTTAAAATGAAAACTATTCCTACCAATATTGTAGAAAGAAAAAAAAACCCATGGTTATGCTCTTTACCAACTACATTAAGATTAATAAAATATTTTCATAATGTTAAAAAATTTTACATGTATAAAAATACAAGCACACACACTTTTCAGAAATTAAGGCATCAATGTTTCTATCATCCTTTTATAAGTATTTTTAAAAACGTTTACTGAGGGAGAGACAGAGAGATGGGGGGGGGGAAGGGCAGAGAGAGGGAGAGACAGACGATTCAAGGCAGACTCTGCACTGGCAGTAGAGTTCAGATGCGAGGCTTGAACTCACAAACCGTGCGATTATGACCTGAGCAGAAACTAGGAGTCAGAAACTTAAGTGACTGAGCCACCCAGGTGCCCCTCATCCTTTTATATTTAACATGATTTTGTTATTAACAAATTTCTTATGTTATCAGCTAGTCTTCAAAATCGTTATTTACGGAAACAAATAGCCCCATCACAGGCCGTCTTAGACTCCGTTACATACTGAAATTGGTCAAACCACCCCTCTATTTCAGACATTGAGATTCCCTTCAGGTTTCATACACCTATGAATAATGTCAAAAATAAAATTTACCTGGTTAAACATCCCAGTATATAACTGATTTTCACAAGATGCATTCGGAGAAGTGGGATGAGTCAATTAACGAGTACTAAGTTTAAAATGCACCATGAACATTCTATCAAGTTGCTCCCCAGAGGTCCTGTATGCGGAGTATGTTCTTAACCATTATACATACTTTGTGTGACTCTTTAACCTCTCAACTACTTAGGATATAAAATTAATACCACTAGTTAAAAACTGCCAATGGTTATTCTTCTGTGCCCTTTTTTGTTAAGCAGAGAGTGTCCTGAAAATAACAGTAGGAAAGAAAATGGTAGGTGTTCACTAGAGGAATTTATGACTAGAAATAAAATATACATGATTTGACATGGACTCTATGGACTCTGCCGTCCCCTCCCCCCGCACCCAATCTCTCTTACTGGTTAGATTATTTGTGAAGGCCGCAAGGCCCGAATACAAACTACTCTGCTCCAAGAATTTATTTTTAGTTCAACTTGGTATCCTTATTTCAAAGTGAGAACAGAGGACAGTCCAGTAAGACTTGACAGAAAGACAACCACTGGCTTCCAGACTCTAAAGAAACCCAAAGGCCTCACGCACATGAACACAGTTACATACTCAGAAGACCTCTTGAAAACTTGCCTCTACATTAAAACAATATTTATTGTGAAAATGAGATAAGCTCTTATTTTCCTAAGTTCACATAGTGCTAAAGCTGAGATGGTTACTAATAAAGTTCATTCCCCACGCCACCCTATCCCCATTCCACATGGAATTAACCCACCCTAGATAACACGGTTAACACGTGGTATGTTGTTGTGCTTTTTCTTCTGATGCATCACCACTTTATGAAAATGGAAGCATGCCATATGAGCCATTGTCACTTGTTTTCCATGTTTAATATATAATACTTTGACTAATTTTTTGCATCTCACAGATACTTTTATTCACGCTGTGAAGGCAAAAGCACTTCCTTTTAAAAATTTTTATTTATTTTTGAGAGAGATGGGGGTGGTAGGAAGGGCAGAGAGAGAGAGAGAGAGAGAGAGAGAGAGAACAGAAGCAGGCTCCAGGCTCTGGGCCATCAGCTCAGAGCCGGACGCAGGGCTCTAACTCATGAACCATGAGATCATGACCTGAGCCGAAGTTGACGCTTAACCGACTGAGCCACCCAGGTGCCCCTGAAAAAAGCACTCCTCTAAGTGTACAGTGATGGGTGTTTCACAATGCAGCTCACTGCAATTTACAGCCAGACTGGTGATCTAGCTGCCGTGTATTCCAAGTAAAGCTGGTAAATGGTGACCATGAGCAGGTGCAGGATTCGAAGCTTTGAAATCTTTACTTCCTTTTTAATTTTTTTTAATTTATTTTTTTTAACATGTTTGTTTATTTCTAGGAGACAGAGAGAGAGAGTCAGCGTGAGCAGGGGAGGGTCAGAGAGAGAGGGAGTCACAGACTGAAACAGGCTCCAGGCTCTGAGCTGGCAGTCAGCACAGAGCCTGACGCGGGGCTCGAACCCACGAACCGTGAGATCATGACCTAAGTGAAAGTCGGACGCTTAACCAACTAAGCCACCCAGGCACCCCTACTTCCTTTTTTAAAAAAAATCAATTGAGAGTGAGAGAGTGAGAGTGAGAGAGAGAGAGAGACAGAGACAGAGGCAGAGACAGAGACAGAGACAGAGATAGAGACAGAGACAGAGACAGAATCTCAAGCAGGAACCACACTTAGGGCTGAACCTGAAGCAGGGCTTGAGCTCTTAACCGTGAGAACATGACCTGAACTAAAATCAAGAGTCTGACACTTAACCATCTGAGCCACGCAGGCGCTCCTAAATCTTAACTTCTTTCATCAGCAGCCCTCATTTCATGACAGAGGAAGCTCATTCCACCCCATGCCTAACCCACAGGTCCTGGTAACCTTAGGTACAGTAGGGCTTCATGGGGATCCAAACATTTGCGATGAGGTTTGAAGCATCTGGGTGGCCAGGAACACTGGCTTAGGCCGTCATGACCTGTGTGGCCAGTGACTGTAACTGGATACTTTTCAACACATAGTTGTCTGAAATAAAATGCTAGGCTCTGAAAGGAAACGGAACAGGCTGGCAGAAGGGCTCTGATAGAGTATTTCTGGAAAAAACCTATAAGGAACCATACTGTCAGAGGTGGTGAAAAATTGGAATTTTTACCATATCACTATCGAGGTTTTATTTTATGCATTGTACAAAAGGTGCTGCTGTTTGTTAATTTTTTTTCATTTATATGTATGAATACATACCTATACTGGCACACATGAGAAAATCAAGGGCTACTCAGAACTCAATTTTGAGACTTTTTTGAGTGCCCTTCAAGCACTCTGTGTGGTTCAGCAGCTGTACCTGTGAACAGGAGCTTTT